TGGCTATATGGCCTCCACTGCTGCTAAACTCCTCCTTTCAGTAGGAAGTCAAGACATGACTGAAATACTGGTAAATGCTTGTAGTATCCCCAAATTTTTCACCTGCAGAAAGCTGGGGAGGAGAAGAGACTGAGGGCCAGGGCTGACGCCGTGCTGGGACAGTGACAGGCAGCGTCGCAGTGCATCGCTGGGTAACGCCCGCATGCCACCGGGCGGTCACCGACAGCTTTACTGTGACTCTTACACCTCTCCCGTCTTCCACCAGTAATTTTTGGTGCCATTAGAGCTGGCAATTGGGTTATCAATGAGCGTATACGTGTCAAGGAGGCACAAATATCCTTTATAACAGAGCTGCTTCTTTCTATTTTTAGTTGTGCCTACTGCTGCATGGCCCCAACCACTGCCTGAAGTACCTTTGTACGGCTTGCTAGCAGTAATGGGAGTTACTTCTGCAATGCTTCTTTCGCAGGGAGACGGGCAAACTACAGCCTCGTCCTTCAGAACCTTCCACCTGCGACTGAGGTCAATGAGATGACTTCTCTGAAGCTCTCTATTGTCCGAAGGACATTCTTTGCATTGCAAGGAAATAAAAAGCGATCTGATTTTTTTTTTCCCCCACAAAATAAGAAGTGTGTTTGCAGATGGGAAGAAACCAGAAACTCAGATGACATCTCAGTGTGACTCCAAACTTTGTCTGAGACATACACATGGAAGACAAAACCCAAGAAGTAAATGTAGTGACTTGCCAAACACCACAGAGTTCACAAGAAACTGTTCCTTGTAACCATTCTGCCCTGAGATCCCGGGGAAAGAGAAGCCATCGCTTGAATTTGGTCATTACTCCTTATTAATTTTCACTTAAATTTTAATTCCCATCAGCACACGGGCCAGGTGAACACAGTATCTCCTCCCTTCGCTCCGGAGGTTGGAGCAGCTCACACCTGTGCAATCACGGCTCTCACTCGGGGTTGGCTCACAGAGAAGTCAATCCCAAGTCCTGTAGCCTTCTGCTGCTCCTGAATGCTCTTCTGGGGCTCAGAGAGCAGAAGACCGATATGGGGCATGGGGGGGGTGGCTGCACTCCCGTCTGTGCTGCCTGTAGCGTTGCTCAGCAGGCAACGGGGATGGCTGGGTCTGTGCCATCTGGGCGTCACTGCTGCCGTTCTGCAGGGTGGTGCCGAGGGGGTTGTATCAAGGAAGATGAACTTTTAAAGCCTAAGTTAATCGTATTCTTTCAAGGCTGCGCAAAAATAAAATCTGGGGAAAAAAAAAAAAAGCCATTTCAAGAATGTAACACAACCCCCAAGTTACCTGAAAAGAAAATGCAATCTAGTGCGGTGTGCTTTCACTGTCCCACTCTGGCCCTTCTGTTTCTTTCTGATTTCTTGTGCTTCAGCCTGTGTCCAGGTATTGCAGGTATCTGCTTTGTCTGTGAAAAATGAAATCCCAGGAGGAATTGCACTTGGTGCAACTGGTGCATGTTTAGGGTTTAATTCACAAAAGGAGCAGGCTGCCCTGGGGAATCCTGAGTTGGACCATGCACAATGAAAGAGAGGAGTCAGGTCCCAAGTCTGGAAGTTTAAAGAGAACTTACCATAAAAACAAAGCTAAAGAAAGAGCAGGAAGGACTAGGAAAGACTGATCTCACATCTCCTATAGCCTCTTGGCCCACATACTCATGCACATGGCTAATGGGTGCCCAGGCAGTGCTAGCTGGCAGAAGAGGAAAGATTTGGAGCTTGGTTTTCATGCATCCTTGAAAAATACTTCAGTTACTGAATATGAGGGCACTGTCAGGCCAACCCTTGTCAGATGCTCCCCAGTAAGACCCAGTTCAGTAACCATGTGCTGAACCCTCTCATAAACTGGCCTTGCTGAGCCAGGTGGGGTTGGGGCTTTTTATGGGGCTTAGATAGGAGCTGGGGGCGGGTGTCTCTGTGGTTGTGTTGCATCAGCTTCTGGGGATACGTGTGCTGCAAGAAATGGAGGCACTGGTAGAAATCTGGGCATGTGCTTTCTTTATACGCCTCTGAGGCAAAGGAGAAGCAGGATGGAGTTTATCAAGTCTCTTGGGAGTAAAGAAACATTAGACCCAAGTGCAGAGAGTAGCCATCAGATGCCCAACTCCCTTGGGGAACCCAGCTCTAGGAGCCAATCCAGCTCCCCCTGAAGTCAATACGAACTGCAAAGGGTCCTGCAATCGTACCACTGTGAGCAACGGTACCAAAAAGACTTGGAAACATTTAAATCTCTGTGCCCGCCTTTGACTGAACTTGGAAAAAGTACAGAAATAGCAGAGGAGGTCTGTATAGTTTCATATTCCTTCACCGTATTTCCCAGGCAGGAAAAGGTAGTTTGAAAACAATTTACAAACATTAGAATAAGTCCCTAATCATAGTTATAATATTTATCCTTTAAAAACAACTTACTGAAAAAATAAGACCCTTTAATTTGCAAATTTGTTATCATATAGTTCTTGAGCTCACAGAACATTAATGCATTTGAACATGTTTTTATGAGTAAAATGATAAACCTAAGTGATTCTGCTGTGGCTTGGGATCCTATCTATTCAAACTCTTAAGACCTTTGGGACAGAGCCCGTCTGCCTCAAGTTATGTAGCACTCCACGCAGCGGGATCCATTCTAATGAGTAATAGTTCCCGTGACGGCAAACATACCAAGATACAAACCCAAGAGAGGTCTAGCTGCAAAAAAGACCTCAGTGCCCCATAGACACTCTTAAAAAACAAACACATAAATCATTATAATTAAAGAGATTTACCCCTGAGGGTAATCCTGAGGGAGAAGAACATTTTTTTATTCTTTTGGTTCCCTGCCTGTCTTGTTTCCAAAAATAGTCCCTGCAGCTCTGGAAGTTGCCTTCCTGAACTGGGTCTTTGCAGTTGGTCTTTGAGTCTTTCCCAGACCACCACCTACCCCTACACATCCTGCTTAAATTTATTCCTCAGTGGGCTGCAAACGAGGATCATCAAACACTTTGGCCTCTGCCTGCTTCTTCAGAGGGCCGCTCAAACGTAGCATCTGAGATGGAGTGCACAGACAGGCAGGCACACGGACACACGGTCCCTCTGCCACCAGATGAACGCTTCTTGAATGCGGTCTCTGCCATACCACGTACTCTTAAATATCAGTCCGTATCAGGTAGATACAGAACACAAACATCATCGAGTGCTTCTGGCCGAACGCATCTTGATAAAAGCTGTAACTACGTTTATAGGGTGATACAGATCCAGGTGTGACGGTTTATCTGCTGCTCTGGTTCCTCCTCTTTCAGGCAAAAGATGCAATCACTGTCATACTTCAGCTGGCGGGCTCAAGTGTGCAAAACCTCAAATTAAAAGTTAGTTTTCTGAGGTTAAATTCCAAAATGTTTTGCACTACTATAAATTTAAAGGATAGCAAACCAGTGGATACCCCAGACCCATGCACAACAAAGTAAGGTACATAAACAACAGAGTAAAATATCTATATGAAACTTCATGGAAACATTTTCAAACATTTCTAATATTCCTAGTTTGTTTTCATCAGCTTTTTCAATTTATTCAGCGATCAAGCTAGTTCTCACTTGTGATCTTGGCTATAATTACCCAAGCTGTTTTCAAGAGCTGACCATTGTGGCTTCTCAGACTTCAAGCTGAAGTTAAATTTCTTGCTGGAATCAGCAGAAGCCTTTTTATTACCTTCACAGCATTAAAGGAGTGGCACAGTACAGAGAATTTAGAGAAATGATCCAGAGCTTTGCACATATTTCTGAAAGAGATCTGCAGGAATTCCTATGCACCCATTTGTCATGCTAAACTAGACACTTTGACCAGGTTTCCTTGAAGATGCTTCTGGTTCTCCAGCGGTTTGGGCTAGCCCAAGTTAAATATGACTTCAGACAGTAGCAACAGCCTTAGGCCATTTTATGACTTAATACCAACATTTTGGGGGGAGTCAGCTTCTGGGGGAGCTCCAAAGCGATGCTCTCCTGTATAACCTTCACAATCAGATTTGGAGGAAACAAGCACAGGATTGGGGTCCCCAGAGAGCTGCGAAGAAATCATTTGCATGAATCTCTGCAACAATATTGCAGAAATAAAAGATGCCAATAGGACAAGAGAGAGCCTACATTCATTTTAGCTACTTATTTTCATGTAAACGTAATGAAATAAGCATTTCAGTGGTGATGCAAACATTTGACACCAGACGTGCGTACTGGCTTCTCTTGCATTAAATGAAGTCAGTACCAAAGTTAACAATCGCCTGTTTTCAGTAATTCAGCAGGTAGGAATAGTTTTGCACGTTGTAACACGGTTCTTGACAGTCCCCTGACTTTTAGGAGTTAGGTAGCAGGTAGTGTTACAGACAAGACTGGTTAAAACCCAACATTTACAGTCAGGGGAATTCAGCCCATTTGATCCTCTACCATTGAAGTCAGCAGGATTCTCCAAGTGAAGTCACCCTAAAGCTGGTGTAACTGCAGCCACCTACGTGTATGTTATATACAGGCCGGCTAGGAGGAATTGCTGAAGAGCATCGAGTACCAAGTTCAGGGCCAGATCCAGACTTCAACAAATGGTGAGATACTGGTTCAGCCAAACCTTATCAACCCCAAGTTTGAATCTGGAGCCAAACTTGCCCATTTTATGCATTTTAATCCAGAGTTAGGGTTCAGTCTATGTTCTGAAGAAGAACATGTTGGGTTTTGACACCATCGTAACCATGCACACCATTCTTCTATAATTGCATCAGATTCTGCATCAAAGACATCCAAGCCTCTTCCAAAAAAAACACTTTGGGGAAAATGATAACATTAGGGTAAAGGTGTTACTGCATATTAGAGAAGACTTATAAAACCCCCAGAAACTAAAATGCTGAACGCCCAATGAACAGCAAGACTGTCTCTGAATTTAAAACTTTCCACTAGTTTACAGTAATAATTCCACCCTAATCACCATTTTATTTTTATTAAAGAAACAAAAGGCATTTCAAAAATTCTACCTAGAATCACTTGTTTCTGCCAAGCGGTTGTTCATGATGGCTAGAGCACCCACCCCTGCGGAGAAACCATTTTGTCTCGTATTGACACAAACGTTTCTTGGGTAGCCGTTGGCCGTCTCGGACAACTGCTTTTGCAAAATGGCCAGGGAGACTTTATTCGATGCCGTCAGCTCCCTCATGGAGATCATCTCGCCAGAGAGCCTCCTCCCCTCGGTGTCACTGTCGTACTGTCCATCAGTGTCCATTGAGATGTTATGTCGACGCAGGCGGGCTCCTGGGGTGATGGCATTGCGCCGTCCGAGGCGGGCACTTGATTTATGGCACTTTGGGCAACATCTGCATTCGAATTTTTTCAACACCCAGTTCAAAACTTGCTTGATTACGATTGAGATGACATTAAAAAGAGAGTATATGCAACATACCCCCATTAATATAAATATGAAGTTTCCAAATCTGTATAATCCCTGATTTTGGTATGCAGCGTTTTGGCTGCTTACCAAATCTCCAAAGCCGATGGTGCTGAAGGTGACAAAGCAATAGTACAAGGAGTCAACGTAGTTCCATCCTTCCACCGCTGTGTACATAGCGGAGGCACAGCAGGAAAGGGTAATAGCAAAAATTCCCAGAATCAGCATCACGTGGTAAACGGACGGCTTCCACCCCACAAGGCTGCCCACCCCTGGCATAGCTGGCCCCCTTCGGAAATTGGGAGGTAGGAGACCACTTCTTCGCAGCTGTCTCTCATGGCACGCCTTCATGATAAACGCCAGGAGAGAGATAATGCGCTCCAAGAAGAGGTTGAAGAAAAGGATAGTCCCAGCACACCCAAAAAGGCCATAAACGATGAGGAATACTTTTCCAGCCACGGTTGCTGGTGTGGTCATCCCGAAACCTAAGGTGTGGAGATAAATGAGTAACATTAATGACATGGTTTTTCACGCATAAGCTCAGGATGTGTGTAACTTAACACAGGTCCCATCCCACTGGACAAAAGGAGTGCTACCTCTAAGTCAGCTTAGGCCAACACGAAACTGAGTTTTGTAAAGAATGAAGAAGGCACCAGAAAATCCAATGAGATGGCCAAAACTTGATAGAGAGCAAAATATCCTCGCAGAGATGAAAGATGCTATTAACATCACTCTGTAAATGCAGGCGGGAAGCATTCCTGAGCCCAAACCACCTCAAGATGAGACGAGGTGAAGAGGCCATTTCCCCACTCCCACGCACGTGAGCCAGCCTGGCCCGATGGAAAGTGTAAGCTCTTTGTTGGCAAGCTGTAACCCAGCGTAACACTACTGTTATTGAGGGCTGATAATACCACTGCCACTGAGAAGGAAGTTTCATGTTGTATAACAGAAAAAAAACCCCACCTCCCAAAGATCAAATATTGTTTTAAAAATAACAGCCCTCTAAAGTCTTGACCAAACCCCAACGGCCCCTAGCCCACTTAATATAATCATAGAAGGAAGGAAAAGCCATGGCCCCATTTTAAAACTCATTGGCAAGATACCCACACCGCAGAGCTGCCTGGCAGACTGGGAGCACTAGGATCGTGCAGATGGATAATGACGGCAGGGAAAAACACCGCTGCACAGTTAAACAGAAAAATTGAGAGTATACAAACTCTGGAAAGATCCAGCAGCACTATTAATTCATGTCTTCTTTACAAGGATTGTCTTTTGATATTACTCATACACATCGTTTTATATAAGCAGTAATGCCCTGGAGCTATAGATGCCTAAATAACAGCAAAAGTGATCTTAAATTTGCATGCAAATAAATACAGTAAGTTTGCTCTATGTTATTTGCTGATACCGGTTATTTTATGAAAAAGAACTACATATGTTTCACATATCTCAGGAAGATTCTTCTGAAACTCAGTTCTGTAGGTATTGCCCTTGTTCTGCTTATTTTTCCCTGTAAAAATGCTCAGTGGTTCAGTCAAAAAGTGTACTGATGGGATTGAGATGACTGCTCAAGTCCCATGAATAAATAACCACATATAATTTGAATGAATGGTTTGTCAAAAATCCACATCCTGAAATTTCTTTACCTTATTGTACAACGAAAATGCTGAGCAAGAAACAAATTCAGGGAGGTAAACATCAACATCGCACCATTTCAGTGAAAGGTTGCAAAGAAAAACAAGCTACTTTTAGCATAAAGTGTAATGAAATCATTAAATCCAGTTTATTATCATGACACACCTCGAAACAGCAACAGGAAAATACTTCCTATGTATAATGAGTTGAGATTGCTGCTTGAAATTTATTGATTAATTTTGGTAATGGCTGTATTTTTCTGGGTAATTTATTTGTGCTACCTTCATACTTCATTGATACAGAATTTCACATTTGTTGATAACAGAACGTAAATGCTCGTGACAAGTAAACTTGGAAAAATCTTTTCAATGACACGAAGGTGCATGAAGAAAGAGGTGGTCCTACTTTCACAACAGATTTGGCATGCTTGGAAACACCTGTATGCCAGCAATTCGGACTATACTGCAGCATCAGTATCTTGACAGTAGAAACAATCTTTTCTGTAAAAGACAGTGAAAAACTTGCAGAGTATTATCAGAAAATAAAAAATTACCAAAGAGGTCATTAGATTGTGTTTTCTGGACCCAGGGTCTCTCCATTCTGTCATGTTAAATGACTACATTTGAGCAGATCTTACAAAGCCTGCCTTGGGGTCCCAGGCTTAACAGGGGTGAACGGGAAGCTCTTCCCAGTTCCTCCTCCTCTGTGGGGTGAAGCTGTTACTGGGTTGGGCTGGCTGCTCGCGGGAGCCTTCTCTTTTGATGATGAATATCCAGTAGTGCCTGGTCCTCAGAAGAAGCCAGGGAGCCTGTTGCGGTTGCCAGCTAGGGATATCTGGCCAGCTCGTTACGGAGAAGGCATCTGTTCGCCCATGCCTTGTCAACAAAGCATTTAAACATGTGTTTCACAGCAAGCATGTGAACGCCACCATCAAAATAAATGGGTTTATTGTCACACATATGGCTAGACACATTTATTAATTAAAAAAAAAAAAAAGAGATAGTGACAGTTTGGATTGTGTTGTAAAAGTGCTGAAGCTTTTTAGTGTTTTCTGGCGATCATTCATGAGAGGTAGTGAAGTCTTGTGGTTTTAATGCAGTTTAAGTGAGACTTCTGAAGCATAATTTTACCAAAATTCACTATGTAGCTATGCAAGGTGAAAGGCTCCATCACGGCAACGAAAGTGCTAAGAAATACATAAAACAGGCAAAAAGTAAGACCAGGCAAACACAGTAAATTCATGTGCACTCATGTACTCTTCATACAGGGTCTTCCTTCGCTGGCCGTCTTTGTCCCTTCGGTACCACCTGGACCACGAGGGGTTGGTCCTGGTCCTGGTATGTCCTGTACAACACCTCGGAGCTCAGCCCCTGCTCAAGGCTGGGTAAAATGAATTCACCCAGAATTGCCTGTGCTTCTGAGATAGTACAAGGAAAGAAGGACAACGGTGCTTTGCATTTTTCACGGCCCTGACACATACTGTACAGGTCAATTTTGTGTGGCTCAGACACAATATTTCAACCTCCCTCCTTCTAATTCTGCCCCACTCTGTCCCACCGCTTCAGGTACAAGCTCTACGGCAGTACTGATTCCAGCTGTTTGATACTTCTTCTCCCCAAACAAACAGAATTCATAGAGATGAGTTGATAAAAACTCTCTGATAACACTTATCCTTCAGCAGCCTCTCATTAGTAAGCGTTGGCAATTAATGAGTCCCTCATCCTGACTTGCATAATAGGTTTTGTGGTTACTATTCTGCTCATCTGGATTTTTAATTTACGTAAGCTGGTGACGGATGCAAGAGGTAGTGCCACTGCGCAAACTTGCGAAGACTTATATGCCTTGTGATAAGCTTCTTGTTGCTCTTGCTTTCTTTCCTTTAACCCATTTTCTTTTGGGCAAAAGAGATGGTTGGTGTCAGAAAACAAAAAAGAATAGGAGCTTTCAACCCTGTGAGCTCTTCTCTCAGGCCAATTGGTTTGGCAATTACCATGTCCTACTGTATTTTCAGAAAAAAGGGGTGACATTTTTCCAGTAAAGTTATATTTAACCACAGATGGATGAAAGTTTGGGTCACTTCGAAAACTGAACACAAGAAAGTCTTCCAGCCTTTACCATGGCATCGTGTGTCCCTAAGTCAGCACAAGCGAGCAATCATTTGAAATCTGAGTGTAACAGCACTTGATCACGAGAGTAGCATCACCTTCATCACCTCTTAATAATGCAGTTTTATTTAAAGGAATCAAAAGAAACCAAAATTGACAAATATAACTTTTTAGACAAATGATTTTTCAAACATCAACAAAAAACCTATAACCAGAATGCTGCTTCCGGAGGGAAAGAACTTTTTGCAATATAAAGACTAAGCTCTTACAGGACCAGTCCCCGAGAGATGGGGGTTACAGAACACAGATAGATAAACTAAGAGCAACCAATTTTGTTTCATGTCTGTCTCACACTTGCTTTAGTTCATGGCTTTCCACGGTCTTGGTTGGTCTTTACTGACTAACATATATACTGTATCAAGGAACAAAACATCATATTCTGAATTTTGAGATTAAAATTCCATATTTGGGTTCTGCTGCTCCCTTCTACCCCTTTTCCACCCGGTAGCATTTCATCATTATTGCCCCGATAGAGTCCTACCTGCATATTTCACAACTACCTCTCAATTATTCTATAGCTCCTTATCGCCCAATATCCGGAAACAGTTGCCTTGGATACAGGGTCACAGCTCAGAGCCGACAAAACCGCCGCGGATGGAAACCTTCTGCTGCATCCAGTGCTTTTACCCAAGGAGTGAGAATACTACGAGGCACTTCTTCCACTGGGCTTTGTATTTTCAGACTACAAATGAAAAAGTTACTTTCCCTTTAACATTTTTGTCAGCCCACTTTATTCAAATACCCACCATTGGGCTCCAACAGTAAATTTTTTGAGAGCTTTTCCATTGCCAAAGCCTTTAATATCAATGTTGCTGTACAATCACATTTGATCTTACTTTACTGTCTGGAAACCGAGTTCCTGAATGGTAGCGGTCTGTCCGGCACTGTGTCCATTAAGACACTTTCAGACCCATGCTAAGTCTGAAGACATGAGATACCACTGCAGTTTTTAGGGCTGGTCTAACCTGTATCGTACACAAGCTTGCAGTCCTTGGTGACCCATGTACTGGAGCAGATATCACATGGAGAAAATACTGAATGACTATGCAACCAAGGACTGAGTCCCATAATCTATCTACCTATCTGTCTATCCATCCATCCATCCATCCTTGGTAACATATATACCACTTCTAGTTGAATAAGCAGGCTGCTTCTGGCATTTCCTAACTTTTTTGTAACTAATAATATTCTTTTAACATGGACTTGTTCTCCCCAATGCCTACAATAAATAGGTGGTCAGAGGTCCTGCAAATTTGCTTTGTGAATCAGGGTGGGCTAAATCAGGTCTTTTTTTTTTTCTCCTGACTCCTGCTCAGTACCTGACAACGTGCCTGCACCCAATCCACTATAGACTGTGGCAAAAGATGCCCAGTCTATTCTGTGACCTGAAGGAGCACCACGATAAACTTGATGAGCATAATTAAAAAAACATCCAGGTCTCCACTGTTCTTTGTTGCATCTCCACCAGTGAAATATTAGTCAGGTGTTTGAGACAACTGCAACTCAAAAGAAGCCATGCCGGCAGAACACAGACAGGAGATGATTAATTGAACATTAAGGAGTTTCAAGGAGCTGCAGGCAATTATTAAAGGCTTTCCACAGTACTAATTTTATTCTGTTTACACACAACTGTGATCAGGTTATTGGTTATCCAAAGCACTGCTACACATAACATCAGTGAACACCAGAATCGATCACCCTCAGCGTTTCTCTGCTGGCTCT